TACTACTACTACTATATATATATATATATATATATATATATATATATATATATATATATATATATATATATATATATATATATATATATACGATACAATCTTCACTGAATACTAGTTCTCGCTTTTCCATTTATAACAGCACAACTTCTACTTACTTTATAATGTTCAACAAGTTGTGTTACTTTTCCATTCGCTAGACCAGATATAGTCAAAGCTAGCAACGCCTGAATAAGACTAGGAATTCGTGAATAAACGACATGTCTCAAATTCAGTCCTTTTGTTTTATTGGTGACTCTGCCCATAACGATGTCAAGAGCAAAGAGAATCGCTGATACCATCTGTCCTCTGAAACTGCGCTCTTCCATACTCCGAGAGAATTGAAAACTGTGACTAAGTCGATGTTTATCAGATTTCAATATCATAATAATTTCATAGTAATAAAAATAACCGGTCAATCAAGCTATCCAGCTGCGTTATTTGATCGCTTACTGAGATAATATAAATAGAAGACTGGCCAAGAAGAAATACCAAACTATCAACACGGCAAATGCACTGGTAACATACGCAGTCAGCTAGGTAATCCAAGGCAGCACTTACATTACCGCCAGTAAACAAGCCCTGCAACAAAAATTCAGCGTCATTCTTCGTCTAATTTTCTGACCTTGCTTTATTCATCCAACATACCTTGAAATCAGCGGTAGCATATGCAAGTTGCATATCGTGAATATTTGCTACTGCAGTATCTCCCTGCACAGTGTCGATCAAATGAATCATTTCACTAGCATCCACGACAATCAAGTAATACGGTTCTACCCATTTTAGATTTATCATTTCGAAATCCAACGATAATACTCTAGAAGGAAAAATGAAAATGAAGATCAGAAAATAAGCAAAGTGGGAGAAATTACACCTACTGAGAAAAGTGGCTTCCAAAGTAGAACCCGGATGGTTCTCAGCTCAAACGAACGAATACATTCAACTAAAGATACCAACCACATAGCCACTCCATAAATGACGGTGTTCAACATACATTCTTAGAAAGAGAAGCACATTTTTAAAATCAGATACACAAAGATATAGCAAAAGAAATAAAATCAAAAGCACAAATTTTGTGCACGATCTCGCAAATTCTTCACGAATGCAAAAAAAATTACTCAAGACACTCAAAAAAAAAAAAAAATAGCAGGGACTTACCGATAACGTATGACTCGCAAATTTGAAAATTCATAGGTTAAATAACAGAATTCAACTGTCGAACCACGCCCCACACAGAAAGCAGTGGTCTTCTTTTGTGATTTTTCCTGCAAGATGTCAAAATAAGGTACGCTTGAAAGCACAAGATGTTTTAACTTTTCTTTGGAACGTTTTTTTGCCACATGATCTAACCTCCACAACTGGGATACATGTCATATTGAATTAGTATAATATGTTAAGAATATTTAAAACAATCGCAAGTACCTATTGGTAATATAACTGAGAAATGAATGAAATAAATGAATTGGAGATAAATGATAGAATCAACTAACCTTGATATTTATTGTCTGACAATCAATTAAAGGTGGGCGATTGGCTGGTCCACTGAATGAAGTAGCGTATATCAAACACATCTTCTTCAGGCTTACTAGAAACAATTTCTTGAGTGATAAGAGAGCTAAGATACCGTCGTTGTCCAACATTTTCAGATATACCACCTGGAATCACACTTTCAGAACCACACTTTCAAAATCAAAGAAAATAACTGAATGAATTTTCTTTAAATAGCGACCTCGCCATGACAGCCTGAGAAAACACAGCGAGTTTTTCGTGATCGAACTGTTGTTGGTAATATCATTTCATAAACCGAACCTCCACTGTCTAGGCACGCAAGTCTCCTGTCACTGAAAAAGTTAACTCATTGGAGAAGATACGGGTAGGAAAGTAAAAGATATATGGCACAGCAAAATTAATCGTTGATCCAGTTATTCCTTGATCCAATTAATCACCCGCTATTTATAACGTGTAGTCATAAACCACACCTTCAATCCATCTACAGCCCTTGCCACCAAAAAAAAAGAAAGTCCCAACTGACTGGTAAATCATTACGCCGTTCTGCTCATAATCTTCAAGCAATAGGGTTGATATGTAAGACGCATTTAAGAAAAAAAAGAACAACAAAAATAGATGGAAATTGTACCTTGCGCAAAAAAGAACTTGTAGTACACCCTGGCCGGGCTGAACTACATCACTGACGTCGTCGATCACCTTACCTGTAGCAACACTGAATGTACGTATTAGACCGGAACAGTAACCAATGGCCAATAGTGTACTAGTTTTGTTGAAGTCGAGACATGATACTGGGCAACCGTCTGCTGTTATCGAATGGACAAATCTACAAGTCCAAATTAGCATGTCTCCGAAGACAAACTCCTGCTATGAACATTTCCATCAAAAACAGACGGTTTAGATAAGAAAACGCTGCAAAAACCTTTGATTTTCACAGTCAAAGATCAGCACTAGCCCACGACTCGTCCCAACAGCAATGTTAACATTAGAAACAGCCAGGGCTCTAGCGTGACCTCCAAAATTACGATCATTCTGCATTTTCAATTGATATGTAATGGATTCTGAAACAATTTGGTTATGGTTTAAGATTTAAAATCTTACTGACAACAACATCAACATTACGAAAGAGAATTCTTCCATGTTCTCTAATAACGGACACCCAATAATTTTAGATAAGATCTAAAATTAAGGTCTTTTACATCTGACATAATGTGTCACCACATATAAAAGAGTAAGATATATACGAACGTGATGGTACTTCTGATGACACGTCAAAAATGCAGTATTGCATGTGCTAGTTAAAATCAACAGTAGGGACGAGTTACAACCCAACCAGGAAGTAGTTTAAACAGAAAATAAAGTCACTGGTCTCTATCAGGTGTGTGATCGCCAGTGTAGTGATCCCGACCTAACGAGTCACAAGAAACAGACTGGTGACTTGTGTTTTAGACGTCATCTTTTCTGCCGAATTATCGATTTCAGTTTTTCTTTTCTGATGGGACAAAGGAGAGTTACCTAATTCTCTGATATGAAGAGGCGAATCCAATGTGTAAGAAAAAACAGATGATATAGTAGAAGTCGACTGTCGCGGTGATGTGAGCAGCGACTCCTCATCATCAAGTCCACTCAGAATCTCCTCATCCAAATCCAGGATCTTCTGTAAAAATAATGCGCAGAATATCAGTTACAGACTGTACTTTCTGGTTTATGCGAACCAATTTTTTGAAAAGAGGATGAAGCATTAATTTAATGCTTACATCAGTAAGAATTTCATCGAGGGTTTGCTCTGGGACATTGATGGAATCGTCAATCTCAATCCATCTGTCCACAATGTCTTCGTCTGTTGCTGTCGACGACATCGATCATCTGATATAGTTAGCTCCACATAACATTACCGCTCTGTAATCACTAAGTCTGCACTCAATTAACCCAAATATAAACACACCTCCCGTCACTGCTCACTCTCACAGTCTCTCGACATTCTGCATTTGCAATGTGTGTACGAACCTTATAAACTATGTGAACGCCTTCTGTATCTCTATTGTATGTGTATGTATGTGTGGGTGTGTGTGTGTGTGTGTGTGTGTGTGTATGTGTATGTGTATGTGTATGTGTATGTATGTATGTATGTATGTGTATGCATGTATGTATGTATATATGTATGTGTATGTGTCTGTATGGGTGTGTTTATGTATGTATTTCATTTTGCTGTATTGCAATACAGGCATTAATAAAAAATTATGAAGCCTATTCTGTTTCTTCAGGATTCAGTCATCATCTTGTCAAAGGATAAAGAATAGAAATTGTCTGATCGTTCTTAAGTTTACGTCCATCACATCTAAATTCGAACTTATCCAGGTTTAATTCAGAGCTGTCGGAATTCACTCTTATGCATTCATTTTTCCCAAGGATGAAAAATACTAATGCTATTTCACTACCCTTTAACTGTCAGTCCTTCTCAATACAAGTTTTTTAAGGTTTCAATAAAAGAGCTGTCCCTAAAAGAGCGTTAACTAGCAAAATTTATCAAACGTCAGAAGTAAATGTATGACAAGAAGAAGCAAGCTTAGGGGTAAATGGACAGGCTATTTCCAATGGTCAGTGCAAGATGGCAAGGATTGGAATGTTTCAGTGGCTATGAATTATGGAAGAAAAGTCCTAAGTTGAACTGATTAATTTGAACGCATTTTAATATGTTTCAAATATTTCAATATATTTAATGTTTTCAATTTAAAAAAAGCTCCACTCAAATTTAATTATCATTCTTCCACACTTACTGCTTGCTCAGCTTATGCTATCGTTTACAATGCAACCAGAGGGAAGGAAGAAAACTGAGTTATTAATTCCATTGTAGGTGTTTTAAACTGTATTCCAGTTTAAAATTAATATCTCAAACTCCACCAATTAAACTGTACTAAGCTAAGCTGTACGAATTCCATTGTTAAGGCTTTGTACATGTTCATATTGTCCGAAGTAAATATTAGAGGCGTTGGCTGGTAATTAATTTTGAACTTAATCTTTTGATTTTTTTTTGAATTTTTTAAAAGTGTTAGTGGAGTGGCAGCATTGGTACAACTAAATGAAGAATTAATCATATGAAGAGTTAGTCAGTGAAGAAGCTAATCAGTGAAGAATTAATCAATGAATTAGTCAATTCCTCCATTCACATATTCGATATAAGTCTGCTTGTGCTCTCCGACATACTCAGATTGGTCAAAAAATACACTACCAAACTACTCTTGTTTTATGAATGGATAGAATGTGAATTACAATTGCAAACTATCTCTCGATATGGTTGATTAAGCAGTAATTCAAGAGGAAATAATGCAGACATTAGCATTCTTCATTTTCATATTTTCTGTAACTGTTACGACGGCTGTCAAAGATAACAACGACCCTGGATATATTATCCTGAAGTTTATGGAACGATTTCAAGCAAGTTAGTCTTATCATTTTTAATTTTGTTTCGAATTGTACTGCAAATAATATTTTTTGGTTCCTGTAAAACATATGAAGAATTTTTTTGCCGGCTTAGGTATGGTGCACTTACGCGGTGCGATTGATGATAGGTTTTACTTAAAAGCATAGGTATGTGCATTTAAGATGAGTCTATTTCACAACCATCATGTTATGGTAAGTCTGTATGATTTGCTGTTGTGATTCCTTTTTTTCATGTTTAAATTATAGATTTGAAGGAACCGATAAATTTATCTGAGGAATTGATTTGCAATTGCTCGTATTCTGGTTGCAGTGAGGAAATAACTCGTTTTTTGGGAAGTAATTACACCGGATTTTGTCGGTCCACTAGTGGGATATGCTACAAACGTTTGCTGTCTGATCGGTCGGTTATCTTAAGGTTCGTAGTGGTATGGTTTCAGATATCTATATAAGGAGGTTTCTTTTTTGTACATTCTCCTATGACCAGTGGTTTCTATGGCCATTCAATAAAAAATGAATGAAAGTAATATGCTTCAAGTATTCCACTGTTTAAGCATTATTTCACATACCTTTATGGTGTTCCTTTTTGTTTTGCAGCAATAAGGAAGATTATTATTACGAAGTCACCGATAGAAAAAGTGAAACTGATATAGTAAAGTGAATAACCCTTTCAGTTGCCTGAACAAAGATGCCAGTCCTGATTTGCACTGCCGAGTGAAACAGCCAATGAACGATGGAAGTGTAATGCAGTGTTGCCAGAATTATTCGTTTTGCAATGGAGCTCTGGATTTGAGTCCTATAAATGCTTACAATTCGGTAAGACTTATATTCCTCTATTTATCAAGACTCTTCATCATTTCTATTACTGAGGCAATAGTGCGCACCGTGAAAAGCTATTTTAAACTGTGTGGCTTGTTTTTGCAGGAGTATCAAAGTTCTGACAATTTTTAAGGATGAAAATAGTTGTTTTTTTATGGAGACGAATATATGGATCGTATTTTTATGGATCATTCCTAGTTTTTAAGTTTTTTGTAGTTTCAGGATAACAACATACCATTAATTCGAAATCTGGTTATCCTCTTGATAGGAATTGTTTTTTTTGCGTTTTCCTTATTCTTAGCTTTTGCCTGGACAAACAAACCATTGAAACGATGGATATTTTACTGGACACACCGTGGTTCTGGCGAGAGGCACTCTGAAATGTAAGCAATCATCTTTAGTTCAACGATATATTTTCAGATTGAAGTGTATTAATCAAAGGAAGCAATAGAGCGTTTCGATCAGCCATTGCAGCTGAGTTCTGTCTTTTTCAAGGTTTCCTCAATTAAAGGAAATGTTGATATCAGTTGTTAACCAACTTTTTCTAGTACATCGGTTGAAATTAGAATCGTTTGTTGTGAGCATGCATTGTAGTGTCTGTTCTGGAAATTCTACATACATTTTATAAGCTTCAGTACTAATAATTAAATTATAAAAATTGTTTCACTTTGTCGTTATTTATGCTTCATCCAATGTAATGATATTATTTCAAGTACTGGCGAGGAAAAACTACTAATGAGCTCAACAGATGCTTTAGGACACTTGGGCGATTTACTGTATAATCTAGATGATTCTGCTACCACGGGCTCTGGATCAGGTAAATCTCTTCCTTTGCTATTTATTTAATTGAATCAGTCTTTAACTGAGATGCCGCGATTAAAACTACATGAAACCATTGATTAGGGCGATGAAGAAAGTGGTAAAGAAGAGCAGTTTATTAGGTAACCTGAGTAATTCAACGAATAATACAGGTACAGTGATTGGTTAAAAAACTACTGCTATGATAATGTTACACAAACTGTTGCAATCATTATTTCCAGGGTTTCCATTACTTGCGCAACGTACTATCGCTCGTCAGATCGAACTACAAAAAGAAATTGGGCAAGGACGTTTTGGCGAAGTGGTTTTTTTGTTATTTTGATCAAAAATAGCATCTTTAGCATTTCAACTCTATTATACCTTAATACACTTTGATGATCCGATGTTACAGGTTTGGTTAGGCTATTGGAAAGGTGACGAGGTCGCTGTGAAGATATTTAGTTCACGTGATGAAAGATCATGGAATCGAGAAGTCGAAGTTTTCCAAACAAATCTTCTCCGACATCCGAATTTGTTGCGCTTTATTGCGTCTGATAATAAAGGTATTGAATTCTTATGGTTTTGGTCATATTTCTTGCCCACTTTATGATTTATGTTTTTCATGTTGGTTAATGTTTGACATGTGCTATACGTTCTATCAGTATTCAACACGCCTAACCGTTGCAGAATCTGCATCATGTTATTTAGCTCGATTATGCAGAAGTCATTATATAAACTAGTACCTTGTAGTGAATCGGAGTGAGATTTAGCCAGAAAATTTCTAGACCCAAAAATCTCTGAATGCACATTGCAGTAATATTTCAGTCACTTTTTTTTTGTCTTTTCCGAATTGTTCCTGCTAATCGTCAGGCCAACTTAAAGAAGCTCCAGCAATGTTTTGTATTGCTTTAGAGATACTTTGTTCAGCAGATGTGTATAGCTTCTGGAGATGCTGTTTTTCTCCGTAATGTTGTGAGAACATAGTATAATATCCGGGAAGTAATATCTAAATATATATGATGTTGGTTAAGTATCTTCTAGGCTTGCTGAATCTCGATGGGGCATATTTTTAGGTGCTATAGTGAAGTAACAAGATCATTTGGTATTAGGTCAACATCTGTCTAAACGGAATAGTTTCTTCGCTAACATTTTAATGTTTCTTAAAGAATGGTTTTGTATGATTATTGACATGCATTCACACCATCATCAAGAAACTTGCGAGGACTATTGTTTGAGTTGTTTCTTTATCAGTAGTTAAATGGCATGTAATCTACAGATACTGGAACGAGTACCCAGCTGTGGTTAATAACTGAATACCACGAACATGGTTCTCTTTATGACTATTTGTCTGCAAATGCTGTTAGTGAACCAGTGATGCTGCAAATGATTCGTAGTATTGCAGTTGGCTTGTCTTTCTTGCACAACGAAATTCCTGGTCCACGCGGCAAGTTTTTTGAAAGTAATAATTACAGTATGCAGAAGTTCTAACAGAAGTATTTCTTGGTAATTATAGGGAAGCCGGCAATTGCCCATCGCGATCTAAAATCGAAAAACATCTTAGTGAAATCGGATCTGACTTGTGTAATTGCTGATCTTGGTTTGGCAGTACGATATATGAATGGTGAAATAAATGTTCCAGACAATAGCAAGTGTGGCACTGTTGTAAGTTTCACTTTAAGTATGATCATAGTCCTATCTGGCAGAAACAAATATATTCTTCAGTTTTTTTATACAAAGTTTGGCCTGAACTTCGAAAATGAGATACCTTTCGTTCGCTGTCTTCATTGTGTTTTAGATAATTATCAAGATTGTTATCGTTTTTACTGTAGGTCAAGTAAGTTTTCAGTGATACTTTTGGCAAATTCTTTAAAAGTAATGGTTGAAATATTTAGTAGTCTTTATAAAAATATTCCTTGTGTTTGTTTCTCCCGTTATTTTTTTGTGTGTTTCTCGATTTCCATAATGTTATCGGATGACAGTATAATAAATAGCAAGTAATATCTCGGTAGGATAACAGAGTGATGCTTATTGCTTCAAAATTACGTTTAATTATCATATTTTTTCGAAGATGTGTCTTCCTTGTCTAAAAGAATCATACATAATTTTTTTCACTGTCATTCGACAGATATTTTTCATTTATCATTAGTTTGTTAATGTCATTATAGCGTTACCTAGCACCAGAGATATTGGAAGACTGTTTCCCCACAAGTCATTTCGAAGCCTATAAAACTGCTGATATGTATACGATGGGTCTTATCATCTGGGAGATCATGTGGAGATGCGAAAACCAGGGTAAGGCTATGTAACCATACTCATGAAGTCACTTGCATTGAGTTATATATATATACTTGTCTATTTGCAACCAATAATTTTACAGAAAAAGCAAGACCGTTTGAATTACCGTACTTTGACTGCGTAGGCCGAGATCCAACAATGGAGGAAATGAAATTGTGTGTCTGTGTACAGAAGCGACGACCCACTATTCAAGAGCATTGGATAGGTGACAAGGTTTGTAGTTCTATTTTCCCTTTGTTTATAAAATTTTTGGATTTACTGTTATATATCTCTCCTCCTAAATTGCAGCTGCTGGTTGATGAGTCTTCACATCGAAAAAAATTTTTTTTTCTGCTACAAAGTGATCAAACATTAGGTTTACAGAAGTTTGGGAGGTATTATATGTGATGGAGATTTTACAGCATTGTCATGATTCCGAAGTATTTCAGGTGATGGGAGGAGTGTTACAGATGATGCAGGAATGCTGGACGGGATCGCCAGTCTGTCGGCTTACGGCAATGAATGTTCGTAAAGCAATAGATCGTCACGCTGACAGTTTAGGTTGGAAAATTCGTAGTTGACAAAATGTCATCTAAATTTTCGGGATGTATGGTTAATTATTATGTGAATTTTTCTTGTAATAAATTCCGATGCCAATAAGAGGAGGATTCTTTGCGTGTACGTCTTGGATTCATACTATCTTCTTGCACCTATATGTGCTTTGGTTTTTCTTTTCTCTTTTTCTCCACAATACGGAAAAAAGAAGAATTTGAAGGAATTGTTATGGAACAATGCAGTCGTCGATGCGGAATTGTTTTTGTTTGTTTAGGGAATGATGTTTGAACTGAGAAATTGTAGTTCTTGGAGTGCATACAGTTAACAAAAAATGTTGACATAATGCGTTATGGAGTTTAGATGCAGCACTTTACTTTGTTTTGTTGAAACTAATATGGTTAAGGAAAAAGTTTGTGTAATCCTTCTTCAGCTGCAACAGCAATGCTTTGTTTGCACAACTTGGAGTGCACTTAGTTGTGCGCTTAGGTATGTTGTCTGTTGATGAAAGCTGCACTGTATTATTTCTTTGCGTTGTTACAGTATCACTGGCTAGCACTGTTTAATTTTTGCCTTTAGACATCTGCTTTTCAGATGTTAGTATTGTGTGATGATATTGTGTAGATTTACATTTTTTTTTGTTTGTGAAACGGATCTCTTAGTCGAACTATTGTACTGTTTGACCATGTTCAATGCTTGTTCAGGTTAGCAGCTGGAGTGCTTCTTATCGAGCAAAAAAGGGAACCACAGATCATGAATCCCTTCATCGCACAGAATGCTTGTACTGTGGGATTCCTTTTTCGTGCTTGTCACTGATCCGCTTGTGAAGTTTATATGTGACTCTTTATTCTACTTCTATGTCCTTAAAAGTTCAAAATAAACAGTAAAGGTGTCGTGGAATATTTTTTATGTTTGGTAATAAAGTCATTTTTTGGTGATTAGCATGGAGTAGTTGTGATAAAGGTGTGTTGATTGATGGGAGAAATATTCTTCTTGGATGAGATATTGAAGAGTATTGAATGCAGCTGAGTGAATGGATGAACGGGCGCTGTTTGTCCAATGAGTTAAGTGAATAACTTAGCCCGAATTATTGATCCTAGCTTTTTATAAAGTGGAGGTTGTTTGACGCCCCAGACACACATTAGCTTAATT